TTCTTCTTCCTTCCCTCCCCCCCTCCCCTCTCTCTCTCTCTCTACCCCCTCGCCGAGCTTTTCTTTACGTCCTCTCTCGTCTGCCTTCGAATCGCTCCGCGCGCGCTTCTTCTCCCGCATCCGCCACGCTTCGCGTGCAACCGCTCTCGCTTTTCCCCCGCGGAGAGAAACGGACCCTCCGCTACTCTTTCTGCGCGGGATGACGTTGGGTTAATAAAGTTCCGCCCGTTCCATTGGACGCGCGCGCGCAGGCAAAGAAACGGCTAAATGAAGCTGTACGTGGAACGAAGCATATTTTAATGTCTTACTTCCCGCCGATAATATACGTGCTCAGTGTGTAAATACGATGAACTTGGTAATATGCCGGTCTGAAACCAGTTTTCAGATGTGTACACGAGAGAGCGTGGCGCTAACCCCGCGTTCCAGGCCATTCTCAGTTTCACGAGAGAGAATAGATCGGGAAGAACATGGTCGAGAGTGCTTGACCCTCGCGGCCCTCCTGGCAAATGATCCGAATGAAGAGAAATCAATGACGCGTTATACGCGCGGTCATCGCGGTGAATATATTACGTCCGGTGGTTCTCGGCGAAGCGATCATCGGCGTCGCTTATTTCGCGGATGACAAGCTTAACGAGTGAGCGCGAACGGTTATTATACATTCATTTTCCAGAAGATCGCGGAGAGAGAGAAAGACAGAGAGAGAGAGAGAGAGAGAGAGAGAGAGAAAAACTTCGATCTTGTATATCAATTTCGATGGTCGCGGTGCCAAGACGCCGATAGAAAAAATTTTCGCGCACAATGTAACCGCGATAGATTATAAGCGAGTAAAAAGAATTTTAACGGATAGGTCCGCTTGTCGCGAGAAAATAGGAATTATAGCGGCGCGCTCGGTTGCACCATTTGCCAGGACGGATATATGCGCGGCTCTAATGGCGCGCGTAAAAGCGGGTAGTTGCGCTGTTTTTCATGTCATAATCCCGTGTAATTGCCGTTATATGGCCTTACCTAATAAAGAACTAAAAAACGGAAAAAAGAAAAGAAAAAATAAAGAATTTGACGCAGCTGCCGCGAGAGGCGAAAAACCAGTTTGAGACGATCATGTCTTACGCATATTGCGTGCGACGGCCGACGCCCGCCGCGTTACCGCGATTCCTGACATCCGCATTCTGTAATCTTTCTTCTGCGAGAGCTGCCCGCTTTTTCTTGCGCCGCCGCGTGCTCGCGACGCCATCGCGAGTAAAATCACGCCGCTGCGCTCAGTTCCTGACTTCGGGATACAGTTGAAAATTTATGTGGGAGCGACATATGGATAAGATTACCATTATTCCGCATCCACGCTGAATTCTACGAGCGAACGACCGCCCGTGTCGGAATTTCAGAATTAATGCGACACAGCTTAGTTGAGTCGACGGCACCGACGTCGGCGTATGAATTACGAGTGTGCAGGAAAAAAAAAAGAAAACAGAAAATGCGGTTCGCGGCTACCCCGCGCTGATTACATTCGTTATTGTTGGCCAGTTCCTAACTTGGTGCGAAAAAAGTCGAGAACAAATCCTGACATTTTGGAATCCGATGCAAACACCTCTCTCTCTCAGTTAACATTGGCGCTTGATGGCACTTTAATCTCTTTCTTGCGGGAGAAAAAAAAAACCGCGGAAATTGTATACGCGGCCACCGGGATAATAAAGAGCGGCGAAAGAGAGAAGCAGCTACGAGAGGACGAGCCGCAAATGTTATAATATCGGCGCTGCAGTTTGCTAACGGTATGCGAACTCGGCAAAAGTCTCAAACGGCGAAATCGTTGCGTCCCGAAGATCCATTCGGCACAGGTGTTTATGTATTATCCGAACGACAGGTAACGGCGTGAAACAATTGGTTACGTGACTTGCAATCCGTCGAAAAGGACCGATGGAGTTCGAGGCACTTCGTTTTATTACATTCCACGTATCGAATTCTCCCTTCTGTTCCTTTGAAATATATTTACGCGCCGTGCCGAAAATTAAAAGCAAACGTTGAGCATATTTATTCGCTTACCATCACGACTATGCTGAATTTCGAGCTCGAAATTAGACGTAGAAAATGTTAAGATACAAATCTCTTACATAATTCTATAAATTTATCGGAACCGACAAATGCAAACATTACTCCTTTGATTTACGATTTTTACGCTGCAGCCATTCTATAGTCGGAAAGGTTCAGTTAAATTAATCCAATTAGCTCGAAACATTAATTTGTTCCATATCGCTGCGTTAAATTTATTCCTCGAATTCATGAAATCATAAAATATTTTTGTTTGCTTTCGCAGTTCTATGTGCCGCGAATACAATTTCCTTTATTCGCCTTAATTTCATCGTATAAATTTTCAAGCTATGAATTTTTTTCTCGATTTATTTTTTACAGATACTGCTGTCGCACTTCGACGCCTTCAAGTTCCCGAGCTCGGAAGTGGTGCAGTTCCGCGCCCTGGTCACTCCGTGCATGCCGGCCTGCGAGCCCGTGCAGTGCGATCAGGAAGAAACGACCGGCGAGCTGCGCTCGGTGATCTCCTTCGGCAGACGTCGCCGTCGCCGTCGCTCCACCACTTCCCAGAGCCGCGAGGATCTTCTCTTAGTGCAGTCGATTCAAATCACCGACAAATTCGGCTTCGAGCGCGACGGTAAGTCACCAAACGCTAGCTCCGCGACGAGGGACACCGTTTTCGTCGAGAGCGAGGACATATCGTCGACGTTGGGCGTGTGCATCAATCTGGGCGAGGCCATCGTGGCCGGAACCGTCTTCCTCGTCGCACAGATCGCTATCATCGCGGCATGGACCTTCACCTGGCAACGACGCCGACAGATGCTGAAGCATCAGGAAGCGCTCTCGGTCTCCGTGTCCGTGCCCGGAATGCATTCCGTGCCCGGACGTACCGACAGCCTCTGCAAGCTGTACGACGCCGGTTATTCCGCGCGCCGTTTCTGAACGACTCTTCCCACCCGCCCCACACGGTATCGTTGAATCTCGTCTTCCTGCGTAAAAAAAACGCTATCACGAATCTTCGGCTGACTTCATACGGACGTGAGTTTTCAAACGACCCTCCCCCGGGGGAGGATCGCGCGCGTGTCACGATTCTCGAAGCGATCAGCAGACAACACTTCTACGCTCTCTCTCTCTCTCTCTCTCTCTCTCTCTCTCTCTCTTTGAATCTTTCTCCGTAATTCGGAATTTTTCCGCAATTTCGGACGGCTACTCCGTACTATACATATATACATATATCAAACTTCTACGACTGTACCGCGTTGCGAGATCCGCAGCCAATATACGTAGCTTTTAGTGAAGTATGCCCTTTGCCACCCACGCTTACCTTGTACTCCGGGTGCAAGCTTTGCCGAGGCGTTCTACCAATTCCAATTAGATTCGGTGGGCAGATCATGCGGAGTTAGTCGAACGCGTCATGTAGAGAGACGATCGTACCGATTGGAAAAAAGGGAAGACGATCGCCGCCACCCGTCTCGACGAGTATCTTGCATTCACATTGGGTACTATCACGTACGCATCCTCTTTTTTATTCCAAACTTCATTTCCTCAGCAGCCGGCAGCGTAAAGGAAACCGATCGTTTTCGCGATATCGTTCAGGCGACGCTGCTCTAGCGCTCATCTTCCCGGGCGTAGTCGGGCGCAATTGCGCACTCGCGTGTGTGCAACACGTGCGAAATAATGCCGCTGGATTACTGAACGGAATTAGGCACAATTGCGCTTGATTGCTCGATACATCTGTCGCTTATTGAGACACAAATATCAATGTTTCCCGATCGACGTTTCTGTCCAAGGTCGGCGCAACGAATCATATCGTATGGTATCATCAATCTCGTCTTTCTGTCTCTCGAGCGGCCGATTATTGCGTGGAAGGAGCAAGACTGCAATTACGTTCCGTCCGAACAACCTCTAATTAACGTGACGTTCAGTGTCCAAGTGTGGCCTTCATGCGTGTGCTGCGTACCCCCGTGCGTTCAGCGAAAGTCGATGCCGTGTCCCAGGGGACGCTTCTTACAAGCGGATTGAAAGGGCACGTTAAAAAAGTTTGAAAATTAGAAAAAAAAAGACAAAAACAAAAGGAAAAGAACCCCCTCCCCCCGCCGTAATATCGCGCCGATACTTAATCCGTATCTGATCGGGACCGCATACCGGGGAATCACACGCTTCGCCGCAGCTAAATCGATTTCTTACTTTGTTCCGGCATAAAAGTGGCCGTACCGCCACACCTCTTCCGCCGGTAAGTAGTTGATAATGTAACGGCGCAAAAATCCATCCGCGAAGGGAGTAATCGATTCCGCGCGCGAGTTCGGTCGGTTTCTTGCGTCCGGACGTGCAACCACCACGCCGCCCTTTTCCCTTCGCTTCGCCTTCGTTTCTCTCTCTTCCCCTCTTTTCTCCCCCCTCGCAACAAGTGCTTCCGTTCTTCCCGAGGCGACGTGACGCGACGTGGGGACACGTATTAGCGCGCTGTGGCTCCGTAGATGATGGAGGTTGACGTGTATCCGCTACACGTCGGACGGACTATCGGCACCGACTCTAATTAGCATTGGGAATTGGGCATGATTATGCAGATGTATAGAGTACGATATCAACGGTACGGCGCGGCGGATGGTTTGCGCTAGCACGAGGATGAAAGAGGGAGGAGGTGGAAAGAGGGATCGAGACGGAACGAGAAACGGGTGGTAGAATATGGACGTGGTCTCGGCGAGGAGCGATAGAAGGTACGCGCCGCAAAGGGGTTGGCGGAAGGTTAATTGCCTCTTGTGGCGTCTCGGGGTTAAGCTAAGCTTGCGGGGGTAACGCCTGACGGGGTTGAGACGAGCTTCTGGAGTAAAGGGGGGGGAGGGGGAAAGGGAGGGGAGAGAGGCGGATCACCATCAAGGATAGCCATCTCTCCGTACCGGAGCCGCGTAACCTTCCGACTTAACCTTAGCCATGTCCCCTTATCCCTGAGCCATCCCGTGGCGGCCAGGTTAATTTACATTGCGACACGCGAGCTTATCAATCTAGATTGGCGTGCTCGAATTGGAAGAAGCCGTCAAAAGCCGCGTGCCCAACACCATTAAAGAGAATTCCTTTCGTTCTGGTTACGTAAACAACGGAATGTCACGCTTCATCGGTTCGCGATTCCATCGCTGGGCATCTTGAGAAAATTCTAAAGAACAAAGCCGCGTTGATAATGTCAAACACAGAAAAATCCAGTTCGTAACAGCTATTGTTGTATTCCAACATTTTCTGTATAAACCGCAAACAAAGTGTATTTGTTAAATTATTTTTGCTCGCCGAGTAAAGAAATATAAGAGGTACCTGCTTTTAATCAATAGAAAATGTTTTATAATTGATAATAATAAAATATATTAAGTAGATAATTAACTTATATTTATAATATGCAATATTTTATGATTGTTTGTATGTTATAACAGAACCGGCTAAACTTTACGATATCTGAAATCCGATTTTATCTTGCTTTGAAATTGCAAGGCGGAAAAAAGAGACAGATAAAGATTCGACAACGCGCGTTACACACTATGGTACAGAGAAATACAAATCTATTGGCTGTGCCAGCGGTGCCTTATCGATTTCACCAAGGCATACAAAGCGGGTCCCAAAGGGAGATCGGATTAATTGAGAAACTTGCGGATTAAAATACACTCGTTAAGACAAACACGGCGAATGAGAGAGACAAAATGAGAATCTCCAATCGTTCTGAAGTGTTTGCATTACATTTAACCGAACTTGGAATTATTCTAGTGTTTGACATCTATAGTGTGGCGAAGATTCGCGTACGTTGCATACTACTTTCACGCAAGTGCATGCGAGACTACTTCGCGAGCAGTGTGATCACGCGCTAATCTCACAGACGTGTCAAAATTTTATCTCACACGCAATAATGGAATCTCGGAACAAATATGTCGACCTGTTGGATTTCGATACACAATCGATTTGACATCGGAAATGTTTTTGGGCGCAAACGAGACAATATCCATTCGCAAGTGCATCGCACCGACCGCGCGTAACGCTCGCCGCACGTGTAACTCACTGCTAACGTTTAGTGGTCGCTAACGCAACAACAATAGAGAAAATCGAACGGAAAAGGATAGACAGTGGTGGAGTGCGCGCGTATGTTGCATCCATCGAAATTCCAGCGCGCGCTTTAATTATTGGCTCTAATTGCCGTGGATATTGCCGGGCTTTTCCCGCGCCGTGCGAGACCGTTGGAGTGTCGACACCGAACCAAATGGAATTTTGCCCCTTAAATCAAGCGCCATTGATTCCGCTAAGCACGCGGAAAAATTGAAATGCAGAAAACGCGAGGCGAGACTCGCGTATTTCCGAAACGCGGCTTAATTGCTCACGTATTACGAAAGTAACGAGCACGCCAATGCTCGTATTGAGCTTACGCGCCGCGGCCTGGCCCCGATAATTTCCTCTCCGCTCTTCACTTTGCTACTTCTACGCGTGTGACCCGCTTGATAGAAGTATAAATACAAATAAATATAAATATAAATATGAATATAAATATACATAACGCATACAATGGTAAAGATGCCAACGAAGGTGCCTGCGCGTACAGCAAGTGATGAGACGCGTAATGTGAACTTGCGATTTTCTTGATTTTTACTTTTTTGAAAGATAACACTTCGATTATGGATTTTTATATTTAAGAATTTTCGCTAACGCTGCGGTAGTATATCCAATCTGCTTGTGGTGAGAGGGTAGAGTCAATTTTATACATGTTCGACGATTATTTGTACGGACGCATTCAAAATGGTGTTGCGCACGCGAACGCGCGCACGGACGCTGACACGCGCATGTATGAATGCGCTCAAGGCGCATCCGTGCGCACGCGATCGCTCCGCGCAACGCTTTAGCGGTGCAATTTCAACAACGCATATATGAGCGTATGGAGTGGCGCAAGAAAAATTTGGCAGCTCTTCGCCTCGCTGCAGAAAGCGATCTCCGACTGGAGAGACTGGAAGCGAGAATTGCGGAAAGATCGAGTTCTCTCTGTTGTAAAATGCGGGAACTCGCTGGGATAGATCCTAAGTCATTAATTTCACGGGGAAGATGTGCAAGATTTTCTCGCGCCACCTCGTAGACAACAAGCATCTTCGAGTAACGATGTGTGTGAGCACTTTTCATCGACTTGATCGAACCGTATGCGCGGCGTGCGCGTCATGCCCGGTCGCTGACGTTTGATCCAACTCAATGGAAACTGCCGAGTACGCGAAGTATAATGATTAATCATTAATAATTAATTAATTGCCTTACATTTAAAAGCGTATACGAAGCAAAAAGGAGCAATCCATGTTTCATCAAATATAATAACGTAATTAAGATTAAGTTAACGCGCCCGCGGTCTCGCGCTATGGATCGGGGCCGCGGAAAAGGCAATTGCGAAGGAAAGATAATATTGGGCTCGAGGACGATCGCTCTCGATGATATCAAACACGCCTGCAATCCCGAACGGTCGACTTGGGCAGCCGCAAGCAATTCAACGCGGCTGGCGTCGTCGTTCCTGCGTACAAGCACCACTTGCTGCTTCTTCTCTTTCTCCGACCGCTTCTCCCTCCCTCCCCGCCCTTCCCTCGCTTTCGCCCTATCGTCCATCTTAATGAGGGTTATGTTTATACCCGGTACTTCTTACCAGGAGTATCTGCGAGTTTGTAGAGATGTCGGTGCTTGTCCTCGAGCCTGAGGTGCGCGTCTGCTCCGTCGTAAGCTCGAGAAGCTCGAGTCTGTTCTGTACCATGACAAGCGTGTATTCTCAGCTTTTCTCTCTCTCTCCCCCTATACATCTTCTTTCCATCTCATCCGTCTCTTCTCTGCCCCCTCCCCCTTTCCCCCCCCCCCCCTTCTCTCGTTCCCTTTGCATCATTTTTCCCCTCGTCTGTTTCCCTGCCATCTCACCTCCATTCGCCTACCATTGCCGCTGCCGAGTGCCGCGTCGGCCTCGCCAAATTAAACCATTTTCATCGCGAATACATACGTCACGTACAGAACTTACCCGACGATCGCGAGCGTTCTTATGTTATACGCCGCGCACCAGCATAATCGCTTATTTATTTTTTACGTTAACGTATATTGCCCTTCAAGAATACTCGTATCCTATCACG